TACCTGTACATTCTTATAGAAGAGATTAGAATTTGGAAACTGAAAAAGGGACCCCTGGAGGCATGAGGATAAGAAGCGGATCTTTTACAAATCATCTGCTAAATATCAAGCACACAGGTTATGTTTAGCAGCTTGGATTGTTTCTTTTTAAGCATCTTCACTTCCTTAAGCATTCCTGACCTGGAACTACATAACCACTCCCAGAAAAACGCCTGCCTGCCCTGCAACACCGCACAACCATCATATATATATATACCCCTCTTTCTCCCCTTCGGTCCTTCTCCAGGCGTGTTGAGCTACAGCTCCCACCAACAGATGACAAGGGCTGCATACTTCAACATCTAACACATCTGGAAGGTAGAAGATCAATCAATGGTCGTTTTCCTGCGGACCCAAAGCAGGAAGGATACAACTCAGGGGAGGAGAAGGGCCCTCTCGCCTTCTGCCCCAGACAAGGAACAGAAAAGGTAGCTTCAACCTCCGTCGCCCCTTCTCCCAGGAAAGGTTGAGGCGTGGCGGACGAGCCACGGAAGGAAAGAACCAGGCGACCCGTGGATCCGGCGCGGGTGGGGCGGAGGGAAGGGACGCTCACCTGTTCCTGATCCATGGCGTAGGCAGCGGCGGCGGCGGCGACTGGGGCGCAGTATAAGGAAAGAGCAGAGAACCCCTGCTCCATAGTCCCCCCCTCCCGTTTCCGTCTGAGAGACCTTCCCCGCGACGATCGCGCCAGGCAGGCCGAGCCCTCCTCCGGGGCGGAGGCCCTGGGAAATGAGCTCACAGAGGCCGGTGTCGTCCCCCCCCCCTCCGCCGGTCACACCCCCGTCTTGGTGGTTGCTAGGATACCTCGTAGAACTCTCTCTCTCTCTCTAAGGTGCCCTGGCGACAGGCGCCTGTCGAGCCAGAGGTGGGCCCGCCGCTTGGTGACCGAGAGACTGGTATGTATATGTGCGTTTGGGCGCTGTCGTATGGTATCCAGATCCGGGCCTTCGTTCGGTGAAAGCACAAGGCACGTGACTCCCC